ATTAGACATGTGAAGGGCCATCATATAAAGCAATTGGATTTGTGCTGTATGGCCCTAGGGGTTAAAGACAAAGGCAATTCAACATTCATTTGACAAACATTTACTGGTTATCTTCTCTATGCCAGATGTTAGTGCTACACTAGGGAAACAAAGGTGAAAAAGACAATCCGGCCAACCTTTTGGAGGTTGAAACTAGCAGAAGAGATAAGAAAATAAATAATACAAAACAAAAAGTACTCAGGAAACTACGGACACATAGAATGGTGACCAAAACTCTCTTTGGAAGAGGGAGCTGGTGGAGAAAAATTCACTGACTAGCTAAGGAGTTTCAGAAGTGGACAAGGTGAGAAGTGGCTTAACAGGAAGAACAGCATGTGCAAAAGGCAAGGAGACCTGAAGCTGTGTAGTTCATCTGAGTGGTGGAATGCAAGGTGCATGTTAGGGGTGACAAGAGACTAGTCTTTACTGGGTTTGTGAGAATAAAGGTAAAGAATACTGCCGAGCGCGGTGACTCAAGCCTGTAATCCCAGCACTTTGGGAGGTGGAGGCAGGTGGATCACGAGGTCAACAGATCGAGACCATCCTGGTCAACATGGTGAAACCCCGTCTCTACTGAAAATACAAAAAATTAGCTGGGCATGGTGGCGCGTGCCTGTAATCCCAAGCTACTCAGGGGGCTGAGGCAGGAGAATTGCCTGAACCCAGGAGGCAGAGGTTGCGGTGAGCCGAGATTGCGCCATTGCACTCCAGCTGGGTAACAAGAGCGAAACTCCGTCTCAAAAATAAATAAATAAATAAATAAATAAATAAATAAATAAATAAATAAATAAAAAGAATACAAAGGGCCTCATAATCTCCATGTCACGGAGTTTAAGTTCTAACACCCAAGCTACAGAACACTAATGAGAGATTTTAAGTAGGAGAGTGGCATACTCAGGAAAATACTTCAGAAAGCTCAAGACTTCTCAAGGGTAACAGTAAAGACAAAGAGACGAATTATTGTTAGTCCAGGTGGGGATAAAGATGAAAAGATACCGATTCAGAGTCAAGAAATAGCTGAGAGGTAAAAAGCAAAAAGAACTATCAGCTATGGGAACAGGGGAAGAGAAGGTCTTCTTGATCTCAACTTGGACAAGTGGATGAACAGTGATGAACAAAGCAGGCAACACAAGACAAATCCATGCAATCATTCTAACAACATGAGAGAAGGAGGCCAAGAACTGGTTTGTTCTTGTTTAGAGAAAGGGGATGAAGGAAGCAGAAGGGAAGATGACAGCGTTTAACTTTGGACTTGAGTAATGTAAGATGCCTATTTAGTGAAGGTACTGAGTGGCACATGAGAAAGAGTGGACTAAGAGAGTCCTTAGCTCACAGGTGGCAGAGAGCAGAGAGTACATATAATAAGCTTTAGATACTGATATTTAATCAGTGAGTGAAAGAAAAGCCTGAAAGACAGATGAAGAATTAATCAGAGGAGAGATTAATCAGAAGACAGGGAAATGCTGAAAAAGGCAAGAAAAGATGGAAAAATGTAAGAAGGGTGGGGAGGGTGAAAACTACAGTGAAATGTACTGTATAAAGCAAAATTTTCTAACAGAAGTAATTCAACACAGAACGGACTACCCTGTAAGGCAATGAATCACATCATGAAATAAATGGTTCAGACAGAAGCTATAGAGTCCTCAGTGAAGAATGTCCACTCTAAACAGAGAAGACCTGCATTGCACAGACTGCTGTCATGTCATCTTCCCCAAGGTCCCTACATATCTTTTCAGTAATCTACCCTTCTTCACAATACAAGATTGTGTTCCTACTCAATTCCAACCCTCCTCCCTTGCTGACCATTTTCTATCACCCATCCTTTACTTTTTACTTTTTCCTCCACCTCCATATGTCTCTATGTCCAACCTCAGATGGAAAAATACCTTCCATTTATCCTATTGTCCCTGATCTCTATTTTCTCCACCTTTTACTACTGAACATACCCACTCTCTACCATCTATTCACTATAATCCCCTACAAAAAGATTTCTGAGTCTATCACTCTACAAAAATAAAAAAATAAAACTACTGACAAAGGACATCTGATTTACCGACAGCTCGTTCCAGTTCCTGCTTACTCAGTTCTCCAGTCCCTTGATCTCTTCCGCAGTTTTATGGCAGAACTGACCAACCCCTCCTTATTGCAGTTATTTCTTTGACTTTTGTAACGAAGTAGAGAGGTTTATAGGAAGCACTCTGGACCGAGAATCAGAAGATCTATGTTCCAGAACCAACTACAACACTAATTACCTGTGAGCCTCCCCGCCTCCACTCCTACTCATTCCTCAGATCTCAGTTCTTGTGAGACACCCTAACACCCAGACAAGGTTATGTCACTCCAGTATCCACTTTCTCAAAACCTATTCTTCTTTGTAGTGCTTATCACAATTTTTTAATTATATAATTAGTAGCTGGATGGTTATCTTTCCTACCCACACAGCAGACTGTAAACTCCATGAAGGCAGAGAGCATATGCCTTGCACCTTATCTGTGCAAAATAAAAAACCTGCCAATTGAGTAAATGTTGAAACAGATGTTAAGACTACTTCCTAAGAGACTGCTTACATTATTTTTATTATCCTAATAAAATTACTAACATTTTACTTAAAAAATTATCTGTAAAACGTTAAACAAAAGCTCCATCTATTACCTGATACATGGTGAACTACATATGAATTTCCTTATAAAATAGATCATGAGTAACAGGAACTTTTTTCCAAGATAGTTATATTTCTCTTGCCCATCTAAGAGACAGCTGGAGAGTAACCTACATTTCAGCACCAAAATGTGTTCTAAATTGTATATGGACTGAATGTGCAAATGCAGATTTTGACATAAGTAATGTTTAATTTGACATTAAAACGTTGTTTACGTAGCTGTTTCGAGAATACCCACTGGTACTTTAGGTTTAAAGCTGTTCTTTAACACTGGCAAAAGCCATGCGTTACATACACACACTGCGAGGAAATGAAAAGTTTATCAGTCACACTACCTTGCAGTGTGATTTTAAATATTATTTCACATAAATCAGGGAAAAACATGTACTGGATCAGCGGTAAGACTGCTTTCAACGGTAAAAATTTCATATCTCACACAAGTGAAAGTTTTGTCAAGTTTTATGGTACACCATCTTGGACAAACAATTTTAACAGATTACATGCTAATTTGCCCTTCAACTGCTGAGTGTATCCTGCTCAACAATACCGTACGTAAGGTCCTTCCCGGAAGGCTCGGCATTTTTGTTCGCTGGTCCCCTTAAATAAATAGGAACGCAGGTGATTTCAGCAATCTACAATATTCCAAAACAGAAGTGCAAATGGCTTCTGAGGTTCAATATGTTTATACATTGCCATCCGAAAACATAGTGCAAGTACTCAAAATCCGATGCTTAGACAATTCCCTTGGTTAAGAGTGGTTAACAGGCTGTAAATATAGTTGCAATCCCCAGGAAAGAAGAGGCATTTCATAACGGAAACACTAACAGATACGATCACTCCGAGCCGCTCTCCAAGGCGTCCTCATCGTTAAGTCAACACCAGGGTTTGTGAGCAGGCAATTGTGCCCCTCTGACACCCCCGCTCTTCCGCAGACTCCTGCTCCAATCCCCGCGCGAGGAGTCCCTCGAGACCAGCCAGCGCTTCCCCGAGACTTCGGAGGCTGGGAAATCCCTGGCCAGGGAACTAGGAGTTCAAGCCCCCTCCCCTTTCCTTTCCTGAAAATTAATGAATTGGCCATCCGATTGTTTATTTAATGAGGTGTGTAGTGGCCTCTACTGGTGCCAGTGTGAGCACAAGAATGTCCCACTCTTACAAGTGGGATGAGCCTGGGGGAGGGGAGAGAGGCGAGGGGTGAACCTGCCTCCAGGTACAAAGCGCGGAACTAGACCTCGGCGCCCCCGATCTGCCCCCCAGCAGCCGCCCCTCCCCCGGCGGCGCCCCCTCTCGCCCTTCGCCTCCCCACCATGCGCTATCCCCTTTCTCTTCGGCAACCGGAGCCGAGGCAGAGAAGTTCCTGCATGTTTCCTCCAAGATCCTAAACAAAAACACCGCAGCCGCCGGCGCCGGAGCCGGAGCCGCGCCCCCGCGCCCCCCAGGCCCGCGCCCGCCGCTTACCTGGGGATTGCGGCGCGGAGCCGCTCCTGGCAGCCGCGGCGCCAGGAGCCCGGCGCCCGAGCAGCAGCAGGCAGTAGAGCCAGAAGGAGGAGGTGCTGAGGAGTCGCCGGGCTCCCCGCTCCGCCGCCATCTCTTCCCCGAGAGTGAGCGGCGGCGGCGGCGGCGGCGACAGCGCCGCGGAGCCCTTGCCTCCTTGCCTCCCGCGCGCCTCAGCCGGTCCTCGCTGCAGGCTCGGCTCCCGCGGCCGCCGCTGCTCCAGCCCGGCCCGGCCCAGCCCGCGCGGCCCCTCTCGCGGAAGGGGAGACTCGGGGGCGCCTCCCTCCTGCAGGGGGGCGGGGAGGGGAGGAGAGCGGAGAGGGGGAGTCAGTACATTCCGGGGCGGGGGGGGGGAAATCGGTCTCCAGGTTCCAGGCGCCGCCACCCGCCGCCGACTCCGGCTCTACACACCAGCGCGAGGGGGGCGGAGACCGCGGACGGCGGGGGCGGGGGCGGGGGACGGGGGGCTGGAGTCCGGAGTCCCGGGCGCGCACACGCGCACGCGCACGCGCGCGCCTCCCTCGCCTGCACCTCCTGGGCTCTGCGCGCGGTCCGCCCCCGCTCCAATCCCGGCTGCCGCCTCGCGGGCCGCGGCGGGGCCGCTCCCCTCCCCCTTCTCCCCAGAGCCGCGGACGGGCGCGGGCCGCGCGCGCCGGGCGCTGCTGCTAGTGGCGTCAGGGAAACCCCGGAGAAGCGGATTCTCCTCCTCCCGCCCGCTCGCCGCAGCCCCTCGGCCCCGCGCGCCCCGGCCTCCTCCTCCTCGCCCCGAGGACAAATTCCCCATCTCACCTCCGCAGACGCCTCTGGCTGCAGAGACCTGAGGGCGGGAGGCGCTCCGAGCTTAGGCTGGTCCGCGAGGCCGGCGCGGGCGCGCACCTCTGCTCAATTGGGGCCTGGAGCCTCTATATAGGGCCTCAGAGGAAACCGAATGGCCTCCGGGAGGAAACCTGGGTGCGCAGAGGGTCGGCGTGGGGATTTATGTGCTCGCCAAAAACAATAGCGATCCTGCCCGGCTCTTGCTGGGCCTGGCGCGGCTCCCGTGGGAGGGGGCCGGCCGCGCTGCCGCTGACCTCCGGCTTCCAGGCCGGGCCGCCAGCGCCGCGCGTTTCCCCCGGGCAGCGCCGGGACCCGCCCGGACCGCGGGGCCGGCGCCCCCACCCGCGTCGCTCGGCCCGGGTCCAGGGAACTAGGCGCAGACAAAGGTGCCCGCTGTCCAGTTCCTCAGCTCGTGCGGGGGCCCGGACCGAGCCTTGGGACTCCCCGGGGGGCAGTACTCTCTCAGTAACTGCTAGGTTTTACCTGTACCTTTGCGGGACACTTCTCGCTTTCCTACCTGGGAATCACGTCTTTCGCTAATAAACCAGGGAACAAGCGGGATATGATTTTAAACCACTTAGTAATCGTGAGGCAGCACCCAGGCTACCCAAAGTTAGGAGAAAGCAGTTTGTAGTTCCACTGCTGATGAGACTATTGATCGTTTTATATACTGCACCCATGGAAATTTTTTAAGGAACATTTCTTTGTGTGATTATGCAATTAGAGTCATGTTTGGTGGTTAATAGGAGTTCGGTTTTATTCACTTTTCTGTATAGTCGATAACCGAAATATCTTGCTTCCCACAAGAAAATGGCTATTTCACTAACATATCCCTCTGTGCTTTCTCGTAGTTACTTTCTTCAGATATTCTAAAGCACCAAAATGAACAATATAAGGCGTGGAACATCGGGAGGGAAGAGCTCAGAATCTTCATAAAACCTCTTAAATCATCAAAACGGTGAAATTAGGAATTTTCATCCCAGTTCTTTAATAGAGCAAACACAGGCTTATGGTTTTTTACTAGGAAAACCATTTAAATACCTTTTTGTTTTGGTTAGAGTTGTTAACCAGCAAAAATATTTCCTAAATACCCGTGATTGACCTGTTAAATTAGAAATAGATTACCTCCCAATTACTTCACAAGTATTTGCTTAATTAACCTTTAATAATCACATCATTATTCAGTTTTTCTGAGATAATTAATGAGAAAAGCTCTTTGGAAACTGTAAATTGCCTTGCAAATGTTAATTTCCTGGTATCTTTTCTAAGTCTGGAAAAATTTCATTATATTAAACCTATAACATGTGTAATATGACTCTGAAGTGAAGCTTACATTTATCTCCAAGTTTTGAAAAATGTATGAGTTGTGTCTAACAGGCTGATTTTCATATATGACTTCTGTGAACTGTCTCACTGATTTATCAGCCCACTGTATATGTCAGGTTTATATCAAAAAGTTTAAAGCACTTGCATATTTCTAACTTGTGATTAAATCACAATTTTAATAAAACCCACTCTATTAAACCACTAATAGATGGAGCCCCAGGTTAAAGCTACAGATTCTGAATCAGTTCAAGATATTTAAGTAACTCCGGCACACACTTGAATTCAGCTCCTTTGTTTCAAAGTCACTGACACTGTCAACATGCCCTTTAAAAATCATCATTAATTAACCTGTTCTTTGTTTAGTAAAGCATATCTCAGAAAAGATTTTCTTAGGCATCTCTTTCATCATTCTTATTCTCCCAACAAGATTTTCAACAGATGCTTCAGTCTGCACCTATACTGCTAATCAACAGTTTTATGTTGTTTAAACTATCAGACTATGAAGAGATATTAAACCACTCGTGAAATTAACACTTTTTTTTATCTAAGTGAAGTTGGAACATGAGGTCCATGTTCAAGGAATAGTGCACAAAGAAACTTTAGAGCAAAGAAAACAGAGCGGCCATTGTATGTCAGTAAGTTATCGAAATGCAGGCCAAAAATAACTAGACCAATATCTTGTGAAATTTATGCTAAGTATATTTTGATATAAAAATTAAATGAAATGTTAAAGCCTATGAATATAAAACTTGGTAGGAATCTTATTCTCTACAGTAAAAGGGTTGCTTTTTTCAACATCAGAAAAAATGTTGAAACATACAATTCAATGTTTAATGAGATTCTGCAGCTGATTCCCTGGCTGAATCCCAGTATCTGAGGTAGAAAAGAAAGCTAGTCCTCTGACTAGCAGATCTCAGGATCGAATACTTCCTAGTCACAGCAGACTTCAGCTGGAAGTTGCCCCAGTCTTAAGAGGGTGATTTTCTTCTGCACAGAGATAGATATTTTTGTATTTGCCCTCTACATTCCACTAGGTAAGAATTTTTATCTTCTCCCAGTCTCCTTCAAAAACCACCTGTCCTAGGAGCCATCTCTGATTAAGTGTAATTAAAAAGGGTGTGTGCTCCTTTTTAAGTACAAAGCCTACTCAATATTAATTTTGCTTGTCACATATTGCTTAATCACATATCTTTAGTTCAACAACAATCTATTAATTCAACAAAAATTATTGACCACCTGTTCTCACCAAGTATTGTGCTAGATGCTGGGATAACAAAATTATTGGTTCATTCATTTAATATTTATAAAGTACATCCTGTGTCTCTGGTCCTGGCCTGTGTTAAGGGAAGACAGTGATGAGCCAGAGAAACAAGTTCCCAGTCTAGCAGAAAGGGTAAACAATTATAACAAAGAAGTATAAGGACTGTTATGGTAAGGAAAGATAAGGAGTGTGGGAAAACTTAGTGAGAGCATCTAACTTGACTAAATTGTGTGTGGGGGTGGGAGATGGAAAATTAGAGAAGCATTGGCCTCTAAACTGAGACCCTAGGGGAGATAGGAGTCAGCCACGCCTACAGTTAGGATTTGACCTCAGTTTTGCATTTTAGAAGGAACACTCAGGCTGCTGCTTGGAGTATAGTTTGGAAGAAGTCAAGACCCAAAAAAAAGAGTTCAGATTTTGTTATGGTAGTCTGGGGAGGAGATGATGGTGGCCTGGAGTAAAGCAGAGGGGATTAAGAGAAGGGAACAGATAAGAGAGAGATTTAGGAGATAGATAGAAACAGCAGGGGTGTGTGGGAGAGATAGGAGATGTGGGTGACTCAAATTTCAACTTGGGCAGCTGAATGAAAGTGGTGGCAATCACTGAGTGGGGAATGAGAAAGAGGAGCAGGTGGGAGGCAATGTTAGTTTAACTTTGGACAAGTAAATTTCAAGTACGTATGCATGCATAAGTGCTTTAAATACATCTGAGTAGAAATATCAGTAAGCCATTCATTACTTGGATCTGGAGTTTAGCAGGGAGATAGGAGTGGAGAGGTGAGTCATCAGCATATTCTACATATACCTAAGTATAAAGTGCCTCTGAATATAGGTGAGCCTCTATTTTTCCAATTAAAAATCCACCCCACTCCCCCAAGTCCCTCGGTGGCTCATACCTGTAATCCTAGCACTTTGGGAGGCCGAGTCAGGCAGATAGCTTGACCCCAGGAGTTCAAGACCAGAGTAGGCAACAGGGCAAAACCCAATCAATGCATTAAAAAAAAAAAATTAGCTAGATGTGGTGGCATGCACCTATAGTCTCAGCTACTCGGGAGAGAGGATCGCTTGAGCCTGGGAGGTCAAGGCTGCAGTGAGACATTACTGTGCCATTGTACTTCAGCCTGAGTAACAGCGAGATCATGCCTCAAAAAACCAAAACAACTTCCCCCATGAAACTTTGTGACCAACTTGAATATATAAACTTTTAGCGATATAGATGAAATAACTAGGACTCTGCAGCTATAAAAAAGAACGAGATCGTGACTTTTGCAGGAGCATGGATGGAGCTAGAGGCCATTGATTATCCTCAGCAAACTAGCACAGGAACAGAAAACCAAATATCATATGTTCTCGCTTATAAGTGGGAGCTAAATGATGAGAACGTAAGAACACAAAGAAGGAAACAGCAGACATTGGAGTCTTCTTTAGGATAGAGGGTGAGAGGAAGAACAGGAGCAGAAAAAATAACTTTTGGGTACTGGGCTTAATTCCAGGGTGATGAAATAATTCATACAGCAAACTCCCGTGACATGAGTTTACTTGTGTAACAAAGCTTCACATATACCCCCAAACCTAAAATAAAAGTTAAAGAAAGGAAAAGTTGGGAAAAAAGAAATAATCAGGGCTCTACTTATAATATTTAATGTATTAATTTAACTATGCTTACTTTAAATTACATATTATATAAACATAATTTTTTAAATGATTTTATTGAAATTCTTCATAGTGTCTTTATCATTAGAAATGTCGAATTTTGAGTCTCTAACATAATTTCCCAGGGCATACCATCTTCACTTCTACCCAAGTTTTTAACTCTATATATAATGCTGTCACTGGGAATTTTATTCCAAGCCATAAGTATCTAATCACACTACATCATTCATCCTGTAATTATATTCACGTACCATATTGCTTTTTATAGTGACTTTTAAAGACTTGTTTACAAGGACATCCAACACTTCCAAGTGTGAAGATATTTCCCTAGATGTAATTTTAAGGTCTGTGTTCAATTTGTTTCCTTTCTTACCGCTTTGTATGAGCATTGAATGAGATCATTTCTTGCTAATGTATATTCCCCCAAAAAGCATTTTGTTGTTCAAAATAATTGAGAGCATCCAGTAATATGAAGGACTATTTTTTTTTTTTTTTTTTGAGACAGGTTCTCACTCTGCTGCCCAGGCTAGAATGCAGTGAGAGGCACAATCACAGCTCATGCAGCCTCAGCATTCTAGGCTCAACCAGCCCTCCCACCTTAGCCTCCCAAGTAGCTGGGACTACAGATGCATCCCACCATACCCAACTAGGCTGATTGTTTTGGTTTTTTGCATAGACAGGGTCTCACTATGTTGCCTAGGCTGGTCTTGAACTCCTGGACTCAAGCAATCTTCCCGCCTTGGCCTCCCAAAGTGTTGGGATTATATGTGTGAGCCACCACAACTGGCCATGAAGGACTTTTAAGATCAGAATATAAAGTGACTCCCTATTTTCTGATTTTGGTGGTAGGAGGAGCGGGCTCTGTTTTATATTCAGGTATGTACAGTAATGCCAAGAGTGGTTGAGATTGCCCCAGGAGAGTTTAGGATGGAAACAGGACTGAGAATTGAGGACTGGAACCAAACTGGAAGAACACCAACACATTAAGCATAGAGCAAAATGAGAAACTTGCAAAGAAACAAGCAGACATGGAACAAAACCAGGAGCAAGTGGTATCACAGAACCCAAGAAAAGTGTTTCAGGAACGCAGAAGTGGGCAATAGTGTCACACACTCCTGAAAGATCAAATAAGGTAAGAGCTAGAAATCATTCACTGAAGTTAGTGATAAGGTAGGAGTCAAGAACAACCTTAGTAAGTAAGTTGCAGCAGAGAATAAGGCCACCTACTTGATACGGCTTGTCACTGAGTATGAACTACTTCTTCAAGAAGTGGACCTGTAATAGGAAGAAAAAAATGGCAACTCTAGAATAGATTTTAAGAGGGGAGTAGATTTAAATGCTGATGTAGGGAGCCAACAAGAGGGAAGTGTTGAAAATTTAAGAGAGAACGGGGATAATTGATAGCTTTAGAAACGGTGCAGTAGATAATTTGGCAGCCGTTATTCTGCAAAGCCCATGATTATCTGACCTCAGTAGTCTCGGGCAACTGGCAGAAGGCAAAAGAACTTCACAGAACAGAGGCACGCCCTGGCCCTGTGGTTTCCAGGCAGGCTTCAGCCGTATCTGAGCATGTTTAGTTCTTGTAGTATCTTAATGAATACTGAAAATAAGAGGCAACATCCTGACATTTGCTACCTAGTCCCCTAAAATTCTAGCCTCAAAAGACACACGGCTGGGTCCCAACAGACAGCAATTGCAAAGCGAGGCAGGCCAGCTTTCCAGCAAAAATGATAGGATCTTGCTTTTAGGTTACAAGTAACAGAAATCCAATATAAAATACTATCTTAAGCAGAAAGAGATTTAATTAGAAGGATCCTGGCATCCTATGACAGGGGTGCAGCTGGGCTTTGGGAATGGAACTGGAGACGAGCACCTTTAAAAAACCAGAAAATACTCTTTTGGAGAACCTCTTTTCTCTTTGCCATTCTCTGAATCTGTCTCAGCTTTACTCTTATTGCAGAATGGCTCTCTCTGTGTCCTAGTCCACATGGCAGTAAATGGCTACTACCAACTTAAAATTACCCTGTTACAGTCTGGTTCTGACTGCCAGTTCCAATTACAAATTTCCCATTGAAT